TACACGTGTGGATAATAGCCTGTATCTATCGTTTCCTGGTATTTCTAACACGAATTATAAAGACGGAGTGACCTTATTATTCTCTGAGTCAATGTATTACCAAACCCCGATCCTTTATACATTCATTGAATCGTGTATTACTTGCATCCCATTCAATATTAACATGATTAAAATATACATATCCTGAATACATTTCATATTCAACTTGTATTATCTACATTATATCAATATGATTTATCAACAGAATGGATAAAAAAACTAAATAAAATATACATTTCATAAATACCAATATCATTTAGTCATTAGGAAATCAATGAAAATTACTAGAAAAAAAAGGTATTTAATCTTATCTAATCTACTTACTTGTTTTTAAATAGTTTGTTTAACATCACATGAATAAAAAGAAACCGACATTAACAGAAAGAACGAAAAAAGAGAAAAATTGAGAGGGAGAAAATTTCTTCTAACTCATATCAAATTACTGATTAATATCTATGAAAAATTTATTCACGGTTGAATTCAAATTAGTTATGTTTTATTTACATAGATTATGTTTTGTTTTGTTTTTCTTTTTTTTATGTTTCTATGAAAGTGAATATATTTTTTTGTTGTTGTTGTGGAATTTAAATGAAATATTTTTAAAAAAAATAGACAATCAGAAAATAAAAAAATCGATGTCATTTTCAGTAGTACTTTTCTTTCTGTACGAGTACTCAAAAGAATAACTTAATGAATTAAATATTAATATTGATAATAGTGAAAATTTAAGTGTTAGAAATAATTTTTTAAGGAAAAAAATTAGTGACATTCGAAATGAACATTTCTTCGTCGTTGTTGACTTTTTGAAGTAATATACACTTTTACTACTATCTAGTAGTAAAATGTTGTATAGAAAAAATATTGAGATTTTCATATAATTATTTCACGATATGAGGTATTTTATAGTCATCTCAGATTATTATTAATTATTATTATTATTAGCTTTATTCAATATTATAATTTTGGTACAATATAGAATTCTCAGCGTAAAGTATTTCAACAAGTTTCCGTTTCTTTCTTCTTGGTCGGTCCTGGCGATAAATATTGAGGGATCGCCAGTTAGATGTTAGCACTTCAGTGAATGAACAACTGAATAATGTACATTCTTTTCGTTGTATATTGCCAGCAACCATGTTGTCTCTTATTGAGTTTTCTGTAACTTTGACAACGAAAGGTTGTACACTTTTCAGAAACGCAGCAGAATAGGTTATGCGATTAATAAACATAATGATATATTAAAACAAACAACAATAGATAACTTGTTGAAAATCTAGATGACAGGAACAGGTAGCCCAGATGCTCAAGCAGGCCGCCCACTTTGGCAAACGAGAACATTAGTGGGGGCAATCGAATGTATTTGAATACAAAATTACAGAATCTCGCAGTAAAATTTGAGAATCATACAATAAATACTTAATTTGCATAATATCAATCCATTGTCTCATACTTGACTGTTCCTTTTGCAAATATCAATTAATCGTCTTAGATTTTATTGCTCCTGCATTTTCATACCAATTGCTTTTCGTTTTCTCCTTCTCGATCTTCTATTGAAATATATTCTAATCCTGACTATCGTTATATAATACTTATGTGGATATAAGTAGCTCACATCACAAGATGTCTAATTAACAAATATCCAAATGGAATACTATCAAATGAACTGGGACATATGACTGATTTATTAAGATTTCTCTTAGGTTACTGGATAAATCAGTTTCATATATATAACATTTTCTTTTATCATTAGTTGGATTTTTACGATCTGTCTTTCTAAATGATTAGCTGAGAAATTAATTGCTAAGTATCTTTGTATTATACAAGAGCATATAATGACTAAACTGAAAATAAATTCTAGGCTAATGTTGGATCCTTTAGGTAAGATAAGCAAGGCTATGTAAAAAGTATATGAACCTTCATAATAAAATACTAACAGTTAATAAATGTATTTAACTCTGTGCTTCTACCATTTAACAGGCTAGAGATGATATCTTTCTGTTAAGAATGAGATTTAACGGGTAAAAATATAAGGTCCAGTGTCATTAATTTATGGGAATATTCCAGAATTAACTAAATCTTCATCAGCCTGTAATGTTATTGTCTATTGTATTGAATAACTAACGTTTAAAACGTTCAAACAACATTCATTTACTTAATCATCAAAACGAAAAATTTCATTGGGATGTTTTAGACAATTACTTTGATACGTTCAATAAAAGATAATATTATGGGATGCTGAAAAATGATAGGATACAATCGATTCGAAGATTTGTGCATACACGTCTAGACAGTTCCGGGTAACCGAGTAAAGCACCATTTAAAAACACACTGAAATTAGTCTTAAAAGGATTAAAAATTGTGAATATTTCATATAATGTATGTTTAAACTATGAATTTGATTAGGTAAGTTATGGTAGAATGCTGATCAACTGATAACAAAAATAAAGTATGATGGTTCTTCGGCAGAACGAATTCATTGATTTATTAACTTCAATGATATCTTCCGTTATGAAGCAACAGTTTAAAGTAAATAAATTTGCAAAATGAAAGATTATCAACGATAAATTTAAATCTTTTCATCTCGGCGGTCATACATTCACTAATATCAAATGGGATCCAACGAAGACAAGTTTTTAAACCACTGTTGCCTTTGGTTACTTCCCAGTTTATAAGCAATATGAATAAAATCTACTCTTGAGTTTAACTGATAATAAATTCTAATACACATATAGATACTTTTAAATAACAAAAAAACCTGGAGCTAATCTCAACTGGTTATTAACTCGTCGATTACAAACGGAAATTGCGGTGGTTCGATTGTTAAGACATGCTTTTTTCTTATTTGGAAATTACAAAGATTGTATATGTAAAGTTAACCTGTAACCTTTATTAATCTCTCGAGTCTGCGACTGAACTTTATGGCAATGATCAAAAACATTGGGGTACCTATTTTGAAGTTGTTATATCCCGATACGAATAATGAATGGTAATTCTTGGGATCCATTTATAGACTAATGCTATGAGTATATTTTTATCGTGTAATTGTTACGTAACTAAACTGTTCATATTCATGTCCGTCTTATTATGACCTATGAACTATTATTATACGATTTTTACCATTCTTGAGTTATGGCCTGTCCCTCATCCACAACCACTTTTGACCAAATATTGTACAAATGTTATTTTCTATTTTATGGTACGTTGTGGTCTGTCTGCTTGATATATAAACCGAGTATGTTTGAAATAAATGATCCATATTGCAGAGGCTGAGGTTGGTGTTCTGGACTTAACTGGCTGGGTTAGACAGGAAGCGAAACCAATTAGGACTCTAGGCTGCTCGCACGTGTTTTACGCGTCCTTGGACTGATCGATAATTTCGCTGCTCTCTGGTCGGCGGTATCGTTGCGTTATCCAATATACAGGGTTACACAGGTTCACAAGTTATAACAGAAGCAACTTTAATTCGTATATTAACTCAGACGTTTACTACGTTAGAGATGACTTTGTGGTGTCAACCAATCATCGTTTTAAATGACAAGATTTGTGTAGATAATATTTTCAGCCATTTGTAGTGTGAACAGGTATAACGTTTACATTTCTAGATAAATTACATATCGAAGTTGATGGTCGGTTTGACACGATAAACTAGTTTGTGAATTTTAAGAACTATTTATTGTAGGCACTAAAGTAGACCCATTTGATTCACACTGAGATAACTTTATTTAGTATATTTAGATTGGCTACACACAAGGGCCTGTTCAAACATCTGGAAAACCATTTATGAAGTCAGTTGCAAAGTAGAACCTGGTACGTATGTACATTGGCTCAAGTTTTCATACTTCATTAGCACAGAGATGAGATTGTCAGGCCGAAACCCAGAATGGTAGAGGCAGTAACAGTATGAGTGGTGATAGAAAAGATTAGGCATTGAAGATACGATTCCAGAAAATATAAATTGGTGAAATAAAAACAGAAAAGTTATGAGGAATTGAGCTTGGAATTTGTGGAAGCCACTTATCTGAACGTTCATCTGTTATAAATTTCCCTGTTTACGATTCGTTTCAACTGCATTTACTTGGGCGCTTCCACTGTAAATCTGATAATTGACAAATCTAAGAATCAATACTAAAGTAGTCTATATATTTCCCCCCTCATCCTCTGTCCGTTAGAAAAGTGATAATCATAGATTTTATACATCAAATACATACGGAAATGGAAGCAAGAATGATCACTAACATTTACAAATAAATCTGACTGGGAGATAATAACTACTTACAAAGTTATATGTATTTTGCTGAATATTAACAAGTTGAATGATGACAAAACGTGGATTGTGTCACAATTTTATATTGAGAATTCTTTACTGTAATCAAAAATATGATATTGAATACAATGAGCATTATTATTATTACGTTGTTATTGTACATTTTAATGACAATAGTACCTATGGTTTCCCTAAATTTCCATGTACGGACGTTTATGTATATGACTATTCGGATCTGGTAAGTGAAAAATGTACTGGGTTTTTATTAAACTATTTACAACAATATTTTCTCTATAGCTTCAATAAAAAAGCCTATTTGTCTTGAATTTATTACACTTCACATATGAATATTTAAGGGTTAGGTAGAGTTATGCCTACCTTGATTAATTTTCTGTAGTTCAATCCTATACATTAGGTAGATGATGAGTATACACTGATCAACTGTAAACAACTCAGTAAAATACATTCTTCTACATTTATCCTCTAATAGTCTAACTGGTTTCTTATAAGTGATTACTAGTTTTCTTTAGACGTTAAAAATATCATTCTTTAATATGACTGGTTAATAGTCAGTCAGCTACAACGTAAAAGAAGGCATATATATGCATCGGTTCAGGTTGCCACACCTCAATAGCACAACAAGGTGATGACTGTTTAATAAATCCTAAACAATTAAAAACAACCGAGAAAATAAATGTTACTCAAAATTTGGTATATTTGGATAAATGAGCATAAGAATAGGTTATCATCTTATTATGATCATTCTTTGTACAAGGCAAAATTGTCTAACAATTTTCGCTAATCAACATAACCAAACTTACAGGGAAAAGGTATACGCAAAAAAAGAAAAACAGACTAATCAATTAAGAATAATTTGTCAGTGAACTATTTTTCAACGTCAGAATTAATTTCATTTGAGAAAACATAATAAATCTTATGTAAACTATTACAATAAATATACAGTACAGAAACTATTCGTGAAATAGATTGACACCTCATAAGCATATATATATTGTGTAACCAGAAGAACAGATATGCTCTTTGTAGGTACAATTAAAATCTTTTACAAAAAGTGACCTAAAAAGGGAAACTAGAACGAATTCATGTACAAGTTAGATAAAGAAATACAGAAAAAAGATAATGACTAAATACAGATCATGTACAAAAAAACAAACAGACAAACTTCGAAAGTTTATATAAATAGTAAGATTAAATGTTACATATAAATAGAGATATTATTATTATTAATTTGAAATTTCATTTTGTTCTAAAATAAAAAAGTACTGCTTGATCTGGTACTTGAAATGTTCATTTGACCAGAATTGGCTACTGATGACGTTGTAGCTGTGATTGTTGAACCACTAGTACCCGATACAGAAGAAATAAGTGTTGAATTAGGTAAATTTCTTATTATTGATTGAGAAATACTATTACTGCCAGTACTATTATTGCTACTACTACTATTATTATTGTTGTTAATATTATGGAAATATTGATTCGTTGTAGAAATAGGTAAACCAGGTGGAAATATTGAATCAGTCATAGATAATCCAAGTGAATCATCATTAATTATACTGTTATTACAACTTGTACCAATAGTATTATTATTCATATGACCAACACCACGATTTGTAGTACTACAATTACTAATAGAATTATTACTAATAAATGATGTATTATTCAAATTAAAATGTGGATTAACTAGACGTACAACACCAACTCCACCACCTAAACGTCTAGAATTCATACTACCTCGTACAGACCAACAATTTGCATCTGGATCATAGAGTTCTACAGATTTTAAATAGGTAGCACCATCGAATCCACCGATTGCAATTAACTGATTATTAACTACAGCTAATCCAACCTTATTTGTAAATAAAATAAGAAAAAAATAATTATATTGATTATAATGATAAGACTTAGACAATTAAAACCAAATGAATAATTATACTTAAATAATGTTGATATTTGGTGTTATACCTAGAAGGTTGTTCTTGAGCACTAGAACGCCAGAACCCTTCCAAGTTGCAATAAGAAGACAGAACACTAATGAAGGTAATATTATTCCTAGACAGTGTCAATTCTAGTACAAAATTGTCGGGTATTTATAATTTTTAGTAAACACAAAATCATTATTACAGTCCACCAATCAGCATACAGGGGGTTATTAGCATTGTCCAATCGGGAAGCTACACGCAGGAATTCTAGAACACTCTTCCAAAAGGTGATTGGATGGAATATCTCCGGCTCCTTCTGAGCCTCCTACAGCTTTTTCGAGTTCACTCGTGGTCCGTCGTCACATTTGGTTGAAACTAATTCATACAAAATAAGCTTTTCAAACGAAATAAATCCCTTTTTTATTTATTTACAAAGCCCACTGAAATAACATTAGATATAAATATTTTCAATTAAAATTCATAAATTTCATTCCTATTATTAATTGTACTAGTTGTTTGAATCTTCCTAATGATGTTTAAAACTGAAATTGACCAATTTCCTATTGGCATATGTACATTGTGATCAGGCTTGCCATTAATTCACAAGAATTTTTAGCAGAGATAAATGATAGCTAACAGTGAAATTGGAGACATGTGTCTTTTTCTATTATTACTAATATCACCTTCATTTCAATACTTGAGAAAACATTCTGTCATAATCTTTCGCCATGTAATTATGTTTTCATTCTCAATCATCTAAAGGTTTACCTTGTTATATCAAAAACTACACACTTCTAATCTAACTAAAGATGAATTATATGCAATAGAACAGCTAATAAATTATGAGACAATTAACATTACGAGAGCAGATAAGGGGAACATGACTTTCATTATGAACACATCAGACTATGAGAAAAAGGTCAGAAAACATCTCCCATATGAACTGAATAAAGAAGCGAAAAGACGGAGTAAATTAGAGTGTATATCGAAAGAATGGAAGGACATCGTGGTCATCCCATACCGTAAAGAAACATCGGAAGGAATTAGGAGGATTCCAAACAAACATAAGAGTGCATTTTTGGGCTAGTGATACCATAAGATCGGTATTAGTGAAAGTGAAGGATAGGTTTCCAAAGAAAGAACAACAGAATGTTGTCTGTGAGACTAATTGTCATGATTGTAATGGAGCTTATGTGAGAGAAACATCTAGAAAGTTGAATGTGAAGTCGAAGGAACACAATGTCTGAAACATATTCCCGAATCCTCGGTTGAGAATGGGTCGGCGATAGCCTTATATGCGTTAGAAACAGGACGCAAGATCAACTTCGAAGAGACCAAAATACTTCAGAAAGTGTTTGGCACGAATGAAGAAAGATTATCACCAGAAGCTTTGTATATACGGACTATTCAGAACAACCTGAACAGAAAAGATGGTATTCAACCAGTTACCTCTTGCCAAATGACCATTACCAAGTAATTGAACCCTATCTCTCTATCCAACCTGTTTATTTCACAGGCGCCGTCGTTCTGATAGAAATTAATTCTAATGTTTTATTAAATCAGCTATACATTTAATGGTTCTCCTTTTATATACACACGAACGTATCGAAAAAGCATTTTCAATTTGCACTTCTAATAAAAACACGTTAACATCTAATATCAACTATCAATAACTTAAAGTCACACACACACAAAACTACTCGTTGATTTATTTTAACATTGTGAACTTTTCATATGATTCACATCTCACCGACTCATGTTATCCCACTTACTGAAGTCAATATCTGAATATAATTGGATAAGCACTTATCATACATTTGATTTGATTGTCAAACATTATACATTCTTTGATTCTGCTAGTTACCCTGAAGAAGTCCAGATAAGTTTGCTAGACGATATGCTGAAATTATTTAAACTTCATTCGCTCAAATTACTTCAAATACAATTTTCGAAATAATATCTCCTCTATACTCGGCACTTAATTTCTTTCAAACATTTCGTTCAAATTATCACGATTAGCATAAGTTATTTAGAAAGAATACGCCATTTTTTCTATCACGATTTTGCAGTCCATGTGCACCATTAGTTGGGAACCATAGCTTACCAACTTGCCTAAGTGAATCCTTTGTAAACGCTAATCTAGTTAAAGCCATGGCATTCGCTTTTCATCCTCTCAATTTCGTAAACAACAACCCGGCCGAGAGAAAACAGTGAGTAGGACTTCCTTGCCAGTGGCCATATACGCGTGGCTACATGAGGACGTTTCTAGATGAAGAGCAAACTCTTTTATAGTAATTGAAGAGAATTCAGTTGTATTGAAAACTAAATTGAATTTCCCTAGAAATCTCAAACACACAGTCATTTCATACTAGTCAATATGAATACATTATATAAAAGTTGTTACTTGACTATTATAAAAAAATAAAAGTTCCTTACAGCGCTTAATTCTTTTTAGAAATATGACTTACTCCACTACGTCGTGATGTCATTGCTACAACAGGAGTCCATGTACGACTACGTAAATCTAAGCATTCTACAGACGATAATTCTGTAACCTCATCTCTTCCACCCACAGCGTATATCAAACCATTATAGACAGCCACACCTAAGTGTTTACGTTTAGTTCCCATACAGGATATTTGGTGCCATGTACCAACACGAGGATCAAAATGTTCCACAGAGGATAAAGGTTGTTGACCATCTGAACCACCAACAGCATACAATTGACCATTCAAAACTGCAACACCTACACCTAAACGACGAGTAATCATACTGGACACCTTAGAAAGAAAAAAACAAAGATATATTACGTCACTCATACACCGTCATAATAGAGGTACTGTCTCAACATATATTAGTAACTAATATAAATAGGTTTATATAGTTGGACTAATTAAATCAATAAGAAATTATATTTATATTCTGCACAGTTCATTTTAGTCCATAAAATGTTTAGTCAGTTTCCATAGTAAATTGATAATATATAATGTTTAGAGTAGTATATCAAAGTATTAGAAAACAGAACACGGAATTGAGAATTTTCACTGAATAACTGAATTATGAATATGGGCTTTATTGATATACACTTGAGCTTTTAGAAAGAATGAACAGTAAGAAAATACAAATTACAAAGTGATCATGAAATGATCCTGTATCACATCACAGTTATCCTTGGATATATGCAATATTTTTTTACTTGAGAAGATATAAAAATTGGAGTGAAAAGCCTGATTCGGAAACTTGTAAATATTATTACCAAGGTTTGATTTGATGTTTTCAAATAAATTTAACATTAAGAAGATTAGTTGAAGGGATTTTGTGGGGATCGATTTGATTTTTAAGTTTTATTTAGCACAGATGGATTTGTCAAATGCCCTGGTAGAGAGTGGGGAGAGTCAGCTCTTCCTCTCGAAATGCTCTACCCTTGGCTACGCATATACAGCCTCTGCCAAGGAAGTCCTATTCACTGCCTTTTCATGGCGAGGGTGTTGTTTACGAAATTGAGAGAACGAACAGTGAATTTTCAGCGCTTTAACTGGGCTGATGGATATGAAGAATCCATCTAGAGGAGTTGGAAAACCCTGATTACAAACGAGTGGTGCACATGGGCTCCAGGATCCTGAGGAAATAAATGGCGTATGAACCAATTATTGGTAACCGGCTACCGAGGGATTGCATCTCCTGACGTTGCTCCACTGCCTTGTGAATCAGACCTTCAGGTTGAAGGCTCCAAGTGTGGCACCCTAGGAAAAGCAAATGCTTCAGTTTGGGCAGTCGGACAGTATCATAGCCCACACACAACTCAAGTGACTTGTGTAGCGCATACGTATACGGTGCCCATTTGTACCAATATTTATATGTTCAAATAAATAATAAATAAATCATTGGAAACCAGAGGGTACTGGGAAACCTTCCCGCACTAGTATGGGACTCCAGATGTTCTAGTAAGAAGTAGTAACACGTGAATTTTAAATATGTTAAGAATAAAGCAGTTTTCATCAATGGCATCAGATTATCGTTACCAGATATCGCACATTGGAAGGATCATTTGTAATTAAACAATAATACATTCGTAATATTTCGACATTTTGCGACTTACTATATATAGAACATTACAAATATATTATCTGATAAGTCGTGTAGGTTGAACGCTATATACGGTTCCTAAGCTATTTCGGTAACCCGCAGTCCAGAACTACACAGCGACTTGAACTCCAGAGAGAAGACACAAGAATGAGAGAAAGCACTTTATTCCAAGGTTCATTTTTGTACAGAAAATCATGGGTATTTATAGATTTTGGCGTCTGTTAAATCAACATCATTTTACAGCCAATCCGATAACAACACATTATGCTACCGACCAATAATAGCACGCCACGTTGGAATTCTAGAACGTTCCATCACACTCTGATTGGCCAGGACTCTTCGGCTCCTTGTGGGCCTCTGGAGGCTCCGTTGAAGTTCTCCGGAAGCCGACCCAACACCTCCCCCGAATAAGATTTCTTTCTGGAATCCACTTGTAGTTTGATAACTGGATTGCGACGGCGTCCCATTATTCTTGTCGTCTTTCTTGTCCAAGACTTCTTTTCAGTGTTCCTGGGCGTTTGTGGCATTGGTGCGTCTAAGATTAAATCTAACGAGAAAGTCGGCCGGTTACTTCGAGTCTGCACCGTTCTTTTGTCCTTAAGGATTTGATTTCTGTGACGTATACATGTCCCAAAAGCTCCTCGAACATTGTACAGTACTCTCCCCAGTTTTTGCACCACTTCGCCCGGCTCCCATCGGTTCTTCCCGATGTAGGATTTAATGTAGACTTTGTCGCCAATACTGAAGTTCCGGATACTTGGGTCGCGACTACGCTCATCCACTAGTTTGGATGGCAACATGGCATTGAAGACTGTTCGAATACGCCTTCCAAACATGGCTTCCGCGGGAGATTTGCCGTCTTGAACATTTGGGTTTGGGGTGGATCTGTATGATGTCAGAAATTTTGTGATCACCTGCTCAGTCGTCCCTTCTCCTCCCCCTTTCAGTAATGCTCGTTTAAAAGTGTCCACAAAGCGCTCTGCTTGTCCGTTTGATTGTGGATGATAGGGTGGAGAACGAAGATGATTTATTCCGTTTGTTCTACAGAAATGTTTAAACGATTCTGCGGCAAACTGAGAGCCGTTATCCGTCACTAAGGTCTCTGGTACTCCGAAGCTGCTAAATAGGGTAGACAACTTGCGGATCGTTTCTGACGTTGTACAATTTGGCATGATGTATACTTCCGGCCATTTAGTGAATGCATCTACGATAATTAGAAACATTTTCCCTTGGATTGGACCGGCAAAATCTGCGTGAAGTCTTACCCAGGGTCCCGCGGGCATAGGCCAACACTGAGGTTCGCATTTCGAAGGATTTTTAGCGGCTTGAATACATGATGGACAGTTACGGCATTTATTTTCGATATCTTTGTCCATTGACGGCCAATAAGCATAGCTACGAGCCAAAGATTTCATTTTACTGATTCCAGGATGGCCACTGTGAAACTGCTTGAGAACCTTGTAACGTAATAACTTCGGAATAACAATGCGATCACCGAACATAATACAGGAGTCAACAACCATTAGAGAGTCCCGTCGACGAAAATATTGCAAAAGTTCTCCGTCGAGGCGATTGTTTGGCCATTTGGTCAAGAGATAGCATTTAACTGAGCTCAGTATCTTATCACTTTCAGTTATCTTCTTGATAGTTTCAAAGGTTACTGGGAGTCCATTAACTGCGTCATCCAACACGCGATGAACTTCTTCCTCGGCTTTTATATTTGCTACAAGAGTCTCCTCCGGGGTTTTCGATTGGGAGCCTATTAATCTCGACAATGCGTCAGCTTGCCCGAAAGCGGTAGTAGACTGATACTTGATCTTGAAGTCGTAACCCAGAAGTGTGGTTGCCCATCGTTGGAGTCTGTTAGCTGTATGAACAGGAATTCCTTTCTTTGACCCAAAAACTGCAAGTAGTGGCTTATGGTCTGTTATTAGGGTAAAATGTCGACCATATATCATCTTGTGGAACTTTTTCACTGCAAAGATAATTGATAGGGCTTCTTTCTCGATTTGGCTATAGTTCCTTTCGGTCGTTGTCAGAGATCTGGCAGCGTGTGAGATAGCTTTTTCAGACCCATCAGGAAAAATGTGAGAGATAACTGCGCCCACACCATAGTTAGAAGCATCTGAAGCGACGACTATCGGTAAAGAAGGATCATAATGTGTCAATAAGAGATCGGAAGTTAGGAGTTGCTTGATTTTCTCAAAAGATGCTTGGTAGTCTGCAGACCAATTCCATCTTGTGTTCTTTTGTAGTAGGTTGTTTAGTGGAGCACGTAGACGATGGAGATCGGGGAGAAAGGTACCGTAATGACTGACCAATCCCAAGAATGATCGTAGGGTAGTAACGTCCCTGGGTCTAGGCATTGTTTTCACTGCTTCAATGTTCTCTGGATCTGGTCGTCTTCCGTCTTTATCTATTATGAACCCAAGGTACCGTACTTGCTGCATATAGAAGTCACACTTTTCCGCTCGGAGGCGAAAACCATAATCAGCTATGCGTTCTAGTACCTGGTCCAGTTTCTTCTGCAGGTCCATTTTATCTACTGCCGTAATTATGATGTCGTCTAGGTAAGCTGCAGCTCCTGGAATACCTTGTAACATGGTATCCATAATTTGCTGGAAAATAGAGGGCGCTGTCTTTACCCCAAAAGGTAGTCGGTTATACCGGAACAGACTTTTGTGCGTGTTGATCGTTAAGAGATCTTTGCTTTCATCAGATACAGGAATTTGTAGGTATGCGTCTGATAAGTCCAATTTTGCAAAATATCTGCCACCGTTCAGCTTAGCGAAAAGATCTTCTGGTAAGGGTAACGGATACTGGTGAGACTGTAGCGCTTCATTTAATCCCGTGGAGTAGTCTGCACATAAACGAACACTTCCATTCGACTTCTTGACCACCACTATTGGTGCAGCTCAATTCGAGAAGTTCACAGGCTCGATAACACCCATTTGCTGAAGTCGTTGTAATTCTTGTTCAACTATTGGAAGAGCAGCATACGGTACAGGTCTTTTAGGTCGAAAAACGGGAGCAGCTTCAGGTTTTAGAGTTAACAGTGCTTTAGCTTTCGTACATTCTCCCAATCCTTCTCTAAACACGTTTTGATGTCTTTGTAGCATGGCGTTTTTCTGATTCCATTCTGGGGTGTTGTCTGTACTTACTCGTCTGCAGATACTGTTGGTAGAATGATCTGCTAGTTTAAGTGTTTCTATAAGGTCCAACCCCATTAAGTCTAGTGCTCGCTTCTTAGTAAGATACAATGTTGCATTTGTTGTTACCGTACCTTTAGAAACAGTGCATGGCACTTCTCCAACAATATTCAACTTCCCCCCAGATGCACTGTGTGCCAGCTGTGTTGTTGGGAAAACTGTGGGTCTCCCAATGCTCTTCCATGTTTCTGGGCTGATTAAAGTGATATCAGAAGCTGTGTCCAGCTGAAGGCGGGAACGGTGTTTATTAATATTCAAGGTCACATACTTTCTTTGGTGGCAACTTCGTGCTCTGTTATGTGATACCAATATCTTGTTGGTTGGAGCACTATATCTGTATTTCTTTGAGTAAGATTTCACGGAACGTTTTCTATAGTCTCTTCTCCTGCAGAAGTTTTCTTTATGCCCCTTCCGATGACATTTGCTGCAACGATGTTCTTTATATGGGCAAAACCTCTTATAGCGCCAACCTCCACATGCCCAGCATGGAGATGATGGTTTGTCGCTGTTATTTTGGAAATTATGGGTACTGGAACCTTGAAAGACTTTTCTGTTGACTGCATTGACGTTACGGAAACAGTTACCGTTTTCTACCATTGAGGTATCATGCTTTAAGTTTATTAACCTTTGGCACTCAGTAGTCACTTCTTGCAGGGTCATATTAGGGCAGTGTTCGAGTTTGCTTAGGATTCTGGTTCGGATATCGGCATCTTCGGGTGAACGCAGGCTGCAGATAAACACTAAGCATTTAAACTGATCTTCAGACATGGACGACAATCTAAACCTCTCACATTCTCGGTTCACAGTTCCTGCATGCTTCACCCAATCATCTCCTGGTTCTTTTGTTAACTTTAAGCACTGGTAACGGATATTAAATAGAGATGATTGTTCTCCGAATATTTGGGATAGGGTTTTGACTGTATCATCAAAACTAAAATCTCGTGGGTTCTTCGGAAGAATGAAGTTGCTATAGCGTTCATGTTCCATAGTCCCAAGTTTTCTAAGAAGTATTCTGACTTTTGAAGCATCATCCAGTTTGCAAAGATCAATATAAAACAAATCTTCATACTTCTTAAACCACGACTCGAAAGTTACACCTGCTACACCATCAAAATTAAATTCATGGATGGCGTTAATGACTGAATCAGTATGTGATACTTGAGATTCACTAGAAGCAGGGTTTTTCTCGGACAGGCAGAATTTCTGCATCAGGGTTTCCATGATTCTAATATGGGACTCTTCAAACCTCTTTTCTTGACGCACCATATAAGCTTCTAATTGCTCCAAGGAAATATTCATTGAAGTTTTCATCCCCGTCGCCACTGATAAGTCGTGTAGGTTGAACGCTATATACGGTTCCTAAGCTATTTCGGTAACCCGCAGTCCAGAACTACACAGCGACTTGAACTCCAGAGAGAAGACACAAGAATGAGAGAAAGCACTTTATTCCAAGGTTCATTTTTGTACAGAAAATCATGGGTATTTATAGATTTTGGCGTCTGTTAAATCAACATCATTTTACAGCCAATCCGATAACAACACATTATGCTACCGACCAATAATAGCACGCCACGTTGGAATTCTAGAACGTTCCATCACACTCTGATTGGCCGGGACTCTTCGGCTCCTTGTGGGCCTCTGGAGGCTCCGTTGAAGTTCTCCGGAAGCCGACCCAACATTATCAAAATGGGAGTTTGTGGAGATTGTAGTAATTTTAATAGTTGAATCCATAAGTCAATTGAAACTAGACCACTATTGAAAACCTGGAAGCACTGGACGGCCGTTTCGTCTCAGTACGGGACTCTTCAGCAGTGCGCATCCACGATCTCATGTGCAAGACTCAAATCCAGGACTTCCAGTCTTGCGCGGGAACGCTTACACTCTAGACCACTGAGCTGACCGGTATCCAAACGTGTTAATGTCTGACTTCACGAATTCAGCTATTAAAATATATCATTGTCACTGATTATTATCACTATCCTGAAATCGCTATAACGGCTCCATCGACTCAGTAAAATTCTGAAATAACCGAGCTTATCAAAGTGTTTACCGAATACATGCTAAAAACTGGAACCACTGGTTAACTGACTACAGAATATATATATATGTATTACATTCAGCTTGAATGGCATTACCATGACCTATTTGTCAACTAACATGTGAGTAGTCAAGAATGAAAATGAATATGACAAAACGAGTGACTATTCACTTTTTTCCGTCGTAACAAAAGTTTAGGTATTAAGTTAAGTCCAATGATAAGAATATTTTTAATAAGGTCGAGACGACGGGCAGATTAGAATTTTAAATGCAATGAATGATCTTGAACTACTCTCCTAGCTTTTTCCACAGCAACCTACTCTTCCTTAAACATAAGTACTGCTACGTCCCGAGGTTAACTGATTGAGATACATATACACTAGCCTCCTATACGCTTCTCTAACCTGTTATGAAGGTTGGCAAACCGACTAATGTGTACACGAATCAGGAGTATACATATACCTGTCCTTCTGACTCACCCAATAACATATAAGCTGAAACCTTGACTACATGTACATCAGCTATCCACCAGTAACATGTCTCGCTTATAATCTCTTAATGGCGTTTAACCTTGAAACGGTTTGTGAACACAGGCACATGATATGTCTAGATCAACCCAGACTAACAAATAAACATAAACTCACTAGTCAATGGAAAGAGGTAGTTAACATTAGTACTGAGTCGTTAGAAGTCAAATGTTCACGTCTAAAGTGTATATACAAACCTAAAGTAGATAACTATGGATATATGTGTTAAACAAGTGAAAAAGTGTATGTCGTAGTCACAAAGAAATCTTAAAAATTAATAAACGCATGTAGTACATTATATGTACATAAGGTACAATTCAATATGTGGAATAAGTTACCTTGAGCCATTTATTTACATTTGGATCATAGCATTCAACAAAATTCAAACAAGACACACCATCTTGTCCACCAACAGCATACATAGAACCATTTAATACAGCTACACCAACACTTGTACGACACGTACTAGTTGAAGCAATATCTGATGACCATTGATTTGTATGTGGATCGTATCTAAATTAAACAATATTAGAAATATCCACAACTTGAACTACAGAATAGGGTTGCTGTGTTCGACAAGTTGTATAGAATGACTGTGATACTAATAAAAGTTACTTAAAATTTCAATGTCATCCAGTTCGGGGCTGTTTAGTTACTGCTCCATTAATAAAGTAATTTTAAGTAATGTAAGCATACTGAAAAAATTTCGGGGTATCCATTTATTGATATGAATATAAAAAATGAACAATTTATTTTAATAGTTGAGGGCATTAGTCAATTGAAGCTAAATCACCATGAAAAACCTGGGAGCAATAGATGGCCCTTTTATCTTAGTATAGGACTCCTCAACAGTGCTCATCCAAGATCCCACCTCGCGAGATTCCAAACCATGATCTATCGGTCTCGCGCGCGAATTCTTAACCTCTAGACCACTGAGCCGACATCCAACGGTGTTAATGTCTAACTTCAACTAATCCACGAAGTTGAGCGACACATTCACCATTGTCTTCAGTGAGTTACTATCTCACAACAGACCCGGTTGAACTCCACTGGTCAGTGATTCTCACTAGAACTCCAGGAAATACCTCTTGAAGCCAGTCACTGGTGGGCATAAGTTGACTAATATCAGAAGGGGTTTTTGTGGATATTATGGTAATTTTAATAGTTGAGATCATGAGTCAATTGAGGTTAGACCACTATGGAAAACTTGGAAGCACGACAGGGAACATTGTGAGTAACCTTTGGAACTAATCAAAAAGATGATGGAAAGTGATGAGTAAGTTATTTAGAAAAGCTCATTGATTAACTGATATGAAACGTGCCTTAAACTAAGTAACAATATAGTGTTGTATGCTGTAATGAGTTAGGTTAATGATACAAAGATTAATAATTAGATATGCAGCAAAGAAATAGACAGCAAAAATTTGTCATCCATTTTATTTACGACTGAAAATTAGACTACTCACGAGTAGTTTAAAAATGCAATAAATTATCAATCCAAGCGTCAGAAATTTCTGATATCAATGTCTGAGTTATTGATGAAAACAATGTTGGTTGAATATTGTCAGATTACACACTACCTGAATGTTAGGCACATAGATAACAGTAGCTTCAAAGCCCTCCGTTAACGTTATCAATAAATTTTAACAAAATAATAAACCTTTTTACGAAGAAATAATTAGATGTAATATAGTTATTGAGTGATCTTTTCATAGGCAATAAAACTAGAATAGTTTATTGATGAATTTTACAACTTTATGTCGACAGCCAGAATATTACACTTAAATAACTTCACCTACTTCAGAATTAAAAAAACACATGTAAATGATTACTTTGAAAATACAGATCTATCCCTTAAAATTTACGTTTTGAAGAATACACATTAATTCATTTTATTCTGCATCAAGTGTTATTCTTGTTTTATTTTTTTAAAAACAGATGCTGTTAGTGAAGAAATTAAAATACTGCTTTAAAACATAACGAATATTAAATAACAATACAGATTACCTTTCAACAGAATTCAAATAACTATGTCCATCATGTCCTCCAACAGCATAAAGAAGATCATAGACAACTCCAACACCTACGCCACAACGTCTTTTATGCATTGGAGCTACAAGATGCCATTTATGTGTACGTGGATCATAATGTTCAGCTGAAGCGATCGCATCTCCTGAACACCATCCACCAATTGCAAATAATAATTCACCTCCTTGTAAAATTTTTCTAGGTTTAGTACGTGGACCTTGCATTAGTGGACGTTCTTGAGGTAATAATAAATAATCTTTAGCTTCATCAACTAAATCACGACAACGTTCATCTGAGCGTACTAATAAATCTGTACTAACGGTACCAACTAAAAATTTCGGACTAAGAAGAGGTAATCGTACATGTTCTAGTAAATAAGATAAATAGGGACGACGATCAGATAAATTATGATGCATCCAACGCATTACAGAATAATAAACTTGTTCTTCTGAATTAATATTTAAATCATCGGAACTTAAAATATCTACAAGATGACTAACAGGCAATAGAAGAAATTCTTCAGATTCTACAACTTCCTAAAATTAAAATAATAAAGAAAAAGAAGCGAAAATAACCAACAGTTCAAGATCAAAATTTCAAGAGCATTTTTTTCTAAAAATTTGAAAAGCAAACAAAATGGAAACTCATTTAGGTGTTCGGTATACAAAAAAGTGAAATACTTTAATAGATTCGATAAGTTTATTTGCTAGAAGTAGGGACATTCAGTTTACATATAAGAATTTAAAAACTATGATAAATTAACTTGTTTAGCAAGTAATTTTAGATACAACTTCAAAATGGATATTCGGTCAGCCATTTTGAAACATGAATATATTCTTAATAGATATAAGTCCATATGGAATTAATCTCTTTTAGTAGTGTGTTTTGTATACAGCAACCATAAACATTCAAAGGATGTAGCGACTTCAATTTATCTTATGATCAAATCATTTTCACAGTTGTATGCACGAGTCAACCTAAGCTAGACCACCATTAAAAACCTGGAAGCACTGGACAGCCGTTTCGTCCTAGTATGAGACACCTCAGCAATGCTCATCTACTAGTGAATCCAACTGTGAAAATACTACAATCTCCACAAATCCCCATACTAATAAATCATTTTGTGTTTATCCCCAGTGAAACAAAAAAATGGTTCCAACACATCCAATCAATATGATTTATACTGATTAATTACTATTATCTCGTCTAGATAACTTAAATTACAATCGTATGATCACTTTAAGTGCATTCTACTTTGTCAATATGCCAATCATTTCGAACTTGTTTAAGAGTATTCTACATAATAGTTTAAAATATAATTAAAACTTAATTGTTGTATAAAGAGAGAATTTATCATATGTTTAGTGTGTAAAAGGTGATAATCTACTAGTCAGAATAATCACAGTTTTCATGAAAGCACACAAATACAAATTAAGAAAACTTTATGTTTGACAACCTAATCTAAAATAAACCAAAACCATGCTTATATCGACCTTAGATTTTTTGTAAGTTTTCAGTGGCAAGCATTTAAAATGAATCAGAAGGATAGTTTCAATAGTTTTTTTAATGAACATATTCACAAGAATTTGTACCACTGTAATGCCTGAACATCTTGTACATATAGAGAATTCAATTATTGTTTTGGAATGAATTGAAATTGAAAATTGCACAGAGAAAAGTGAAAATATTTCCCTGTGAAGCAGTAATAAATCCTCTTATTTCTTTCTTGAATTATTGATTACAGTCTAATAAGTTAATCTTCATCATCATCATCATCATCTTAATTTATCATTCATGTATTAAAAATAATACATTAGTTAGAATTATTGACTATTTTTTTTAGCAAATTTCCTTTTTTTGATCCACAACTTAAAAATAATCCATAATAAATATATTTTAATTATATCCCAAACAGTAGAAAAATTGTACTTCTGACGTTTCGGGACTTAATGTACGCCAATTTTTCAGAGTAAATAAAATCTGAATAACTGGCTTATATTAAGTCACGAAACACCAGAAACACAATTTTTCTACTCATTGGGATATAACAAAAATATATTCATTATTAACTCTCTACCCAATGCTCAAATTATATGAAGCTATCAAATTCAACCTTGGTATGGATACCTATAAACTCTTTAAAATATTGTATTAAATAACTTGTAAGTTAGCAACAAAATTTTAATATTACAGTGGCTTTGATTAAATCCGTTTCAAATATCTCATTTTTCATCTTTGCCTGGTTTCAACTTATGCTTCTCGATCATGAATTGTATAGTCAAGAATGAGATACTGCATAAAACAAGTAAGCTTACTGTTTTACATTGACTTTTCTACAAACAACTGCATGAAAATGAGATAATTTGCTATTTCAAAATTTATCAATTAAACTAAATTTAAGAAAGGAATTATTTCCATTAAGTTTTATTATGATTGAATAAACAGAATTGATTACTCAGTATTCCAGCATCATGATTTTTTCTCTTGATTATAACAGTCAAGAATTTTAAATTAAGATAGAACAAGCTCATTTAGCTGACACATTATATTACCAGTCATAATAAAAATAACGTAGAAACTTGAGACATACGTGCATCAGTTCAACTTACTTCAATTTATTATTATGGTGAAATAAAATAATTAATTCCAGAGTGACAGAAATACTAACAGTATTAGTTGTAGGGAAAACACTGAGCGAAAATGATATGATTCGAGAGTAGAAAAGTACAAGATAATTTTTAAACTCAAGAGTTAGGGGAGGAAAAAAGTTAAAGTATCTGTGCCATTGCTACCGACTCTGAGATGCGTCACCTAGTCTAACCTAACCATTTGTTATGATAATATCAAAAACACTAACCTAGTAGTATACACCTACCAGAATCGTCCAGTTCAATAATTAACATTACTAACTCTGATGTAAATAAATATATACTTGAATTAGAATATTTGTAAAAATAACCAAGTAAGTAATTGTTTTGTCAATTAACAATATGTATATGATAAACCATATTCATTTACTGAAAGGCAACTAGAACATAAATTAACTCGTAAGCATTAACAAATTTTTAACATTTTACTATTACCATTGAATTATTGGCATTATCTAATTTTTATCCTGAATTTAATTGAGGTAAGTTATAAAAGAAAGTAAGGGAACTATATATTTCAAACAGGATTTCTTTTTTCACCAAACAAAAAAAAGAAACCTCAACTTGTTAGAAAAATATTTAAAACCGTGAAGTTTTGGCCAGTGGTGTGAATATGTTCCTCTTTCTAAACTTATTGATGAATTATGGATTATTTACCCTACTGACCGAATCTTATTTACAAATACGGGTGTATACATTTAAATTTGTTTGAATTTGGATTTTTTACGAAGAATAAATAAAAAGCAGCAGGACAAAAAGTCACTTTTCGACAGTTCAACAGAAGTTAAAGTAACAAATATAAAATACAAAAGGTTTTGGGCTACGGCGTCACTTTTCATGGGAGGAGGAAATAGAAGAATAAATAAATTAGCGGAATAATTGCCATTAGTGATATAACCCAAAGTACACACTACGACTAAGCTGTAAATCATACTCCTGAAGGCTCGCTCTATACCAATTTTAACCTAATAACGTCGTATTCCCGCGTATGGTATATAGTCTAACAACTTTAGCTAACATGGGTTTTGTATAAATTTACTATTTGTCGATCATAAGCAACGTAGAAACTGAGAAAAATGTGCATCGGTTCTAGCTTTTAGGTCATATTCTGGTGTATGTTACTTCTCTCTGTCGATATAAGTAACATGTAACACCAACCAAAAGTGAAAAACCTGGCAGCAGAAAGTTTGGATGATGGAATCGAAGAGAACGGGAACAGAGAGTAGCTGTTATGGCAATGAAGGAACGATGAAGTTTGAGACAATTGATGGAAAATTCGCAAATGAAGTACTATACATATGGTTTTCACATTTAATGAAAGAACTCCGTAATTTTCTATTAAAATAAAAACTGATTGTCCCCACCTGTGCTCTCGTCGACAACAACATCGGTACACCGAGATGAAACTATCAACATGAATGTCAAAGTAGTAGTGGTAATTGTATCGGGTGACAATAAGACAGATTGAGTGTATGGAAATATGATTCCAGTACGAAGAATGAATTCACAGAACAAAAAGTATGATACATGAAGCTGTAATACTCAGACAACAAAAGTTACTTTAAAAACCTTTCGACAAAGATAGACTTAAACAATACATATATAAATCGTACGATGTGTGGCGTGTAGTTAGGACCTTTAAATCCTAAAGCGATGTTCTACACCGAGGTGCATGCACAAATCCCAACAGTGACAAGTTCAAATTGACTATCCACTTCACTAATCTCAGCAACAACACTGTAAAGGTATTGATGCAAATGTGGAAATCTTAGATGACATTTACTGATTCCTGTATTTTTCTAAAGCTTATTTAAGCTAAAATGAAGCAACATGACTGACATTGCAAGATATCAGTTTAATCAAATGAGATTCTGTATTCCCTACTGGAAACGGTTGAAAGGTTTTTGATAAACCAGTCAAATGAAAATAAATGAAAAGAACCTTCCGCTTACATGATACAATAATTTGAGACTGTTCTGAATAAAAGCCAAAATATTTCAAACTAAGACCAAAGCTTGGTTTCATTAAACAAGTGGCTTAGGGTTTCTTTGATTAAATTCTCTTCAAATATCTCATTTTTCATCATTGCCTGGTTTCAACTTATGCTTCTTGACCATGAATTGTATAGTCAAGAATGCGATACTGCATAAAACAAGACTACTGTTTTACATTGACATTTCTACAAACTGCATGAAAATGAGATTACTGGATAAAACGTTTTGCCATTTATTCCGAACTAAGTTATCTTAAACAGTGGGTGGATTTCAGAACCAACGTAAGACAGAGTTTTACTGGTAAGTACCAATGAAATCTTTTAATACCGATCTATATAAACAATAATATTCTACATAAATTCCAAAGGCACTGTGTATATGCTGATAACCAAGTAACAATAAATATAATCTTACAAGAAAGTTTAGATGTGTAAACCGATCAGCTACACGCAATAATCCTCTGCAGGCATGTGTGTCTGCGAATGCTCGAATTCCAAGACAATTAGATGGATCCAACTGGCGCTTTAAGAATTCACAGCAAACATCTTGGATTTCTGTAAGTTGCAAGAGACAGGCAGCTGGAAGCAGATTTTGAACATTACATTCTTCTACTGTTATTTGGCTAGTGTAACAGAAATCTATGAGAGTTTCTACAGCATCGCCATCTAGATCGTAGAGAGTTACCTAAATGAGTGAGGAAAAAAATTGAAATTTGTAGTAAAGTTAATGGATCGTCTGCAGAAGAAATAAACTTTATCATAAAATTAACGACTAGCAAAGCCTTAAGTACCATGTATGCATAAGACTTTTAGAGCAACTAAATACTAGTTATATTACTTTGAGTCAGAATCCACGTCTTATCAACAACATGGAATTTCTTCTGCAACCTGCATAAGCCAATGATGATATTATCTGTTGATTTAAATGTCACAAGGTGTGATCAGGCTTAAATCTGTGAATTTAACCGAAAACTGACCATGTAAATCACGGATCCGTGTTTCTTCAGTCTAAGACTCTGTTGAGTATCGAAGTTACTCAGTATGTCACTCAACTATAACGTAGGACCAGGTATGCATATGCATCAGTTCAAGTTCCCATACCTCATAAACACAAAAACATAAACACAATATTCATAGAAGCAGTTACTTCAATGGTAGTAATATATATATATATATAATATTACTGGTTGCAGTAAAAATAGTCAGAAAGCGTCAAAGTAATAATACCTCCGTTTGTCGAGATTCCGCCAATTCTCCAGTGAACATTGCTCTGAAATAAGCGGAACAGGCAGCCAACACAACACGATGTGTGTAAATTTCGCGACCATCAACCAGCAACACTACATCACATAATTCTTTATTTTTACGAAAACGATTCATAGCTTCGAACGAACTAATAGGATGACGTTCAGCAGTATATGCCAGACGATCATTAGATTGTTGAACAACACTCGATTTTGTGTTGTTAGCGGACGACGCAACATATGAATTCTGAACACTATTCATTAACCCATCTCCCAATGAACAACAACGAGATACAAGATTATTAGATTCACAAAAATTGACACGTTCATGCAGGGAATTAAGCATCCTATTGTCACTTGCACAAATATCACTTCGAATGGTACCTGTTACAGACGTAGATGAATCAACATATGACGACCGGATGTTGCTCGAATCACCCACTGAGACATTTATACTATCAGGTATATCTGTACTTAATCGTTGTCCATGGTGAACAGAGGAACCACCATTTCTACTGTTTGGATGAATATCGACATCCATTGGTAGCATAATTAAAAATTTAAATCATGATTATTCTATAATAGGAAAGTGGATAAAAGGTAATCTAATAAACATGGGAAAATGATATGTATGAACGATTAATATGGACATACTGAAACAAAGAGTGATGAAATTACTTTTCTTAAATTCAGAACTTAATAGGTCAAAGTAGGTCGTCGTTTTGTCATGGCACCAGAAAGCACTTAGTCTGCTTTTAAATGATACTTGAACCAGTATCCAAGACTGACTCCATGTATCAATTGGTGACATCTTTTAATTACTTTGACAACTGATTTGGAATACATTTAACTGCATTTCCCAGGCGCAGGTATTCTAATTGGAGTTAAGAGAAAACCATTATTAAGAACTCTAATTTTTTTCTCAAACCTGGTATGCATTTTTCACTTGATAATCTACTACACTTTCTAATATATCTTATACTGTTTCTAATTTAATGTTTTTCCCTTGAACGTTTTGTCTTAACGCATGGACTAAAATTGGACTAATGCACGTTGCTGTGCAGGATTGTAAGTTATTTATATATGCATTTATGTACTGATTTTATCCGCAAAATAGCTAATAATATCTCTGTGGTAGGAACTATGAGGTAATTATGTATGTATAGAGCAAATGATTGCTACGCTCCTCATTTCTTTGTACTTTGCATACTTTTCACTTATTTTTTATAACGATCCAAAGACACGGCTGAATGAAGCACTTTAAGTCATAAAAACACTTTCTTCAGTTAAATTATAAGACAGACATTGGGAGGTTGTAAAATTGGCCTTGCAATGACGGTAAAGCTAAAGTATACAGGTAAACAACCCTGAGATCTTTGATAAAATCAAACGACAAAAATTATGATTAACTGGTTTTTACAAAGACTAAGTGAGAGTATAAAGTTTTACATGAGTAAAGGACTTTATGAAGTTGGCTATAGACTGCTAGTTTTTATATTTAAGGTTTATATTACATGTACCATAGCTTCTAGCCCAAAAATACTAGGCCCAACACCAACCATTACTTCTACTTCAAAACGTTAATTCCGATGTATACTTACAATTAAACCAGATCATATCCTTAATACTAACCTGTTATATATTGGGATGTAACACTATTTCGTACATCTACGCACTAATTATTGATTGGTAGTTAATTACAGACATTTCACTCCTGCTTCGACATATAACAACAACCATAAACCTCTTAAGAATGACCTTACATTACTGACTAAAACTAACTATAGCATGGTCGACAGGTTTGCCTTTAATCACTTATCTTGTTGCATGATCGGGACATCTCAGAGGACATAGCAGGTGGGTAGAAAAGCCAAGAACGAACAAACTACTCGTGACATACAGGTTTCACACCAAGTAATCAACACTTGGAACCTTCTGCCCGAAGCAGTGGTGTCCGCGACTTTGACTGACTCATTCAAGGGAAAACTAGACACTCACAGAAGCATACTAGAAAAGGAACAACACAAGCCGTAGACCTTCTGTCCTTACAACACAAATCTCAATCTAAAATAAGCTAGCTATACATTTTATGAGCAAAGACTAACAGCTAGGGTTGGTAGTTAGTTTGACAAACAAAAAGTTTGGCCTCACATACCGAAGTAGTATCAGCTAAAATGCAATAAATCTCCGAATCAAAATCAAGCAAACATCTGAGTAGCACTACCTAAAATCCAATTGATTGTTTTTTATACTTCATATTCATTAATGTTTTTTACACCGTAAGGAAGTGACTTAATAAAGATTGAAATATAGAAATGCATTGCGTGGTCTTACTCGATAGCATAACAGATCTCCTGTAGCGCATACCTTATAATAGAGCCTAAGCTAAATGCTCAATATCTATATTTAAATGATTTCATGAAATAATGTCAAATAACCAGGTGAAGTTTCAGTCTCACCATTGAAAAGCCCTTTCGAAGACTTATATCCTAATATTTGAAGTGATGAAAACTACAGTTCCTATTCTCAGTTTTTTGCATGTGCGCGCTATTTTAAAAAAGCAGTCGTAACGTGGTTAAAATCATCATGCATGGTGTTGTTAATAGATTCTCTTTTCCCTTCTATTGTAGAGCGACCAAGGATGAATGCTTTCGAAAAAGAAGAGCAAGCCTTGCATACACTGAACCTACAAGAGGACTCATAAGACCATTTTGTAAACTAGCCTTACTTTCTGTACATGACCAGCGAAAATTAATTTTCAAAATAAAAGACTCGTGGCTTCCATTCCGTGTTCTCTCTTGATGTGAAGCTCTCGGTTAACATTGTGTGTGTTGTGGCTTCAGGTCTTCTCCACCTTTCAGTGACTGCTGATTATACGTGTTACATAGTGGTACTGATTCTCGTTGAGTTAAATTTAATGTTTTCGCCTTAAAATACGACTCAAAACTACTGTTAACATTCTAATTTAATCTATTTCAGTTGAAGTGATATTGTAATTGTGTGTTTTGATTTTGCTTTTGTGTTGCATTAAAGCGTACTTGGTCGACTTTGACTTAACATATTTAGTTGAAGTTTGGGTTTTTTACATATCCATTTTGTGTGACCATTTTTCGTTGATTTTTCGGATGGTCGGCTCTTCTCACAAATGTGAAAGGCCATATCGAATATTCCCTGTGGAAGAAGTAATGCAATGTGATGAGTGTAAGATGTGGATCCATAAGATATATACCAGATTAAGTCCCACTGCATATAAAAGATGTTCAAAGTCTAATTCTCATTGGCCCGGAACATCTTTTTGTTCGAGCAAACCAATACTCGTCTGGGAAGCAATTAGCTTCCTGGTGTTGCCCAATAAAAAGGTTGACGAGTGCTGTACTGGTAACAAGTGTACTGTGGAGATAGGTCTGACAAGCCTATTTTGTAAATAGTTTTTAATATTATTCGTATTTATTACGTCAACCTTTCACTGTATGTATAGTTAACATTAACTAACTGTAACTGTTGTTTTGTGGTGGACCAGACGATATATGAACACAAAAAGTATCAACAAAGTTAATAAAAAACAATAGTAATATTAATATATATCAGTTAAATGTTACAAATACAATAAAAATGGGACTTTACTTAAGTTCAACCAAAATGATGCGCGTTCGGCTTTAATCTGGTACAATAAATCCACAATTATAGATGCTTGGTAATTCCAAACGTATCGATGAACTCCCCAGTGGTGTAATCCAAAGTAAGATATGGTGTATTCGCTCTCACAGTCTATGAATGTAAATAATATTTGTTTTAGATCTCAGTTAACTCAATCTCGAATGAAAACAGAACGGGGAATGTGAGAGAAGCAGTGTATTTGTTAACCAGCAACGATATGTCACTCTATGTAGTATCACAACGGAAAAAGTCTCAAAAGTCATTTACTTAAACAACAGGTACAATCATTTAATGATAAATGTACATGCAGTGAGAAATTGACAAAATAAATACAAATAATATTAAAAACTATTTACAAAATAAGCTTGTCAGACTTATCTCCACATAGCTCCCCCCAGAGTGTCCGGAGGTAACACTGGTTATAATAACAACAACAACAAAAATGTGAGAATATGATATATATGTATATACAAAAATAATATTTACAGTTATAACCAACAAAAGTTGTGGAGGTGGATATGCAGTGTGTTATTGTTTGAGAATCGCAATAATGTGGCATAGCATAACGAACACAAAAAAATGAACATACTGTCATTTAATGTCTTGTTTGGCTAACAATTATAAAAATGTGGAAAACTGTTAATGACCCACACACATAAAAAAATGAACTGTTTATTTTTGTGTATAATGAATAAATAATTAAATAGAGTTTACCCGTTTATTATTGTAACAATTTTTTTGAAAAAAAATGTGACAAAACCAATAATTGTGGGAAAATGTGATTAATTATATACACTATTTAAAAAATTTTTTTCTAGATGGGATTGATAGTGTAGGTCCTCGATAATTGTTTGCTTTGATTGTTTTGGTTGGGTTTTTTATATGGCAAAATGTACGTAACGCTTTGGTTTTCTTATAAGTCTCCCAGAACGTGTTAAACAAGAGGGTGTAGTGCTAAGTTTTTCCTCTTCCTCTTGTTTCTTAGTAATAGATGTTGGTGATTGTTTGTTCGCAGTATTGTCTTCTGTGTCTTGAGGGACTTCGTAGAAAGCTGGTTTTATTCGGTCTATAGAAATTGTCTCATGGTTCCCACTTTTGTTGATAATGAAATATTTGTGAGTGCGTTTTATTACTTTATAAGGGCCTTCATATGGTGGTGTCAGTGGCTTTTTCACCGCGTCTACTCGAGTAAAACAAATATGCACGTTTCTAAATGTTTATCGAGATGGACTTGGTTGTTGTATTCTCGAGGTGGTATTGCTCTGATGTTCTGCATCATTTGCAGTAATCTGCTTGAAAAACGAGAAGAGTCTCCTGGCGTTGTGGGTTCATTCTTGACCAGTTGTCCTGGTAACGTTAATGTCGTGCCATAGACTAGTTCAGCCGCCGTGCATCCGATGTTTTCCTTTATTGACGAGCGAATCCCAAGGAGAACGATCGGTAAAGCATCGCTCCATTTTGAAGAGTCCGGTTGTGCCATCAGAGAGCTTTTTAGTTGGCGATGGAATCTTTCGACCATGCCATTAGCTGCCGGATGATAAGCTGTCGTTTTAACATGATTTACTCCAAGAAGTTTAGTGAACTCGCTAAATAGGACGGACTGGAATTGGGGGCCGCGATCTGTTGTGATTGTTGATGGTACACCATAGTTGGATATCCAGCGGTCAAGGAAAACTGAAGCCACTGTCTCTGCTGATGTGTCTTTAATGGGGCATGCTATGGCCCATCTTGTGAACCTATCTATTGCGGTGAGGATATGTGTGAAAGAGTTTGATAGTGGCAGAGGCCCAACTAAATCTAAATGCACGTGCTGGAAGCGTTTGTCAGGGATAGGGAACTTCCCAATTGGACTGTAGGTGTGTTTCTGCGTTTTACTGCGTTGGTACTGGAGGCAGCTACGTGTCCATCGTTTAACATCCGAGTTGATTTTGGGCCACACAAAACGTTCGGTAATGAGCTTTGTAGTTGCTCTGATGCCTGGATGTGAAATACCGTGCAAGTGTTGAAATATTTTTCGTTGGCAAGCGTGTGGGACAAACGGACGATTGTTGCCTGTTGAAGTGTCGCACATGATAAATGCATCTGAAAGAGAAATCGGTACAGGTTTGAGATCTAAGCTAGACTTTTCTTTGCAGGCTTTTAATTCTGCATCGTCTGCTTGAAACTTAGCCAAGGTTTCAAGGCTGATGTCATGATTGAGAACCATCGTATTCATATCCCTCCTAGATAGTGCATCTGCAACAATGTTCGTGTGACCTTTGATAAACCTGATGTCTGTGGTAAATTGGGAGATATAATCAAGTTGTCTCGCTTCTCGTGGGGAATGTTTGTCATACGATGTGCTAAAAGAATGGCAAAGAGGTTTGTGATCTGTCATAATGATGAAATCACGACCCTGTAGCAAAAAGTTGAAATGCTTTACTGCTAAATACATAGCTAAGAGTTCGCGTCCAAAAGTATTATAACGTTCTTGTACTGGCGATAATCTCTTGGAGAAAAAGGCAATGGGGGTAATCGTGTTGTTTACCCGCTGTTGTAATACTGCCCCTACGGCTTTTTGTGAAGCTTCCGTGCATAGGATCAACAGTGTTGTAAGGTCAGTATTCAGGTGTTAGAGCATGGTAGCATTAGCAATCATGGATTTAGCTTTCTCAAATGCTACTTTGGCATCGGAAGGTAACTTGAATATTTGGTTCTTTTCTTTCTTGGTACCTGATTTATCGTTTTTCAGTAAATCTGTCAATGGTTGTAGTACATCGGCACAATTTGGTAGAAATCGTCGATAAAAATTACATGTTCCAAGGAAACGACGCAGTGATTTTACTGAGGTTGGTTCTGGATAGCTGGTGATGGCTTTGACTTTATCTTTAAGCGGTTTGATTCCTTGGGAATCAATGTGATGTCCCAGGAATTCCAGGGATGAAGCGCCAAATATACACTTCGAAGGGTTGATTACAACATCATAACTTTTGAAACGTTCAGAAAGCGTGTGTAAGTGCTGAACATGTTCTTCAGTGGAAGAACTAGCGATTAAAACATCATCGATATAGACAAACACAAAATCTAAACCTCTAGTTACTTCGTCCATAAATCTCTGAAAGGTTTGAGCGGCGTTTTTTAGTTCGAAAGGCATTCTCACGAATTCACACAAGCCAAAAGGTGTGATTACGGCTGTTTTCTCGATATCCTCAGGTGCCATCGGTATTTGATGGTATGCTCGGACTAGATCTAACTTTGAAAAGATCTGTTTTCCATGTAGATTTAAAGAAAAATCATGCAGATGAGGGATCGGATACCTGTCTGGGATAGTCTGGTTATTCAATCGGCGATAATCTCCAAAAATGCGCCTCAATGTTACTAGTGTAAGGTTTCCTCGGAAGACACTTTTTTCGCAGTTAAGATTTTAGATTATAAGGTACATACATTCCCAGATATTTTTAACTTGTGGTACCTTTAGTGGACACTTACCTAAGTTTTATTCGCAGTCTGCAACGTGTCTCCAATGGACTACTTCACATTTTCAAGTGTTAAAGATAAGTTCATTGTTGCCCACCAGACTTTGAAGTCAAGTCGGATTCTTCTGAAGTGCCTAGTTGTAAATTCCCCCCCCAGAGTTTTACATAATCGTCGATACCCGCTGTGAATAATCGTTCATATAAATTAAGAAATTAGGGGTTCTAGTATTGGACTCTAGGGGATCCCACAAAGACACTCGGTAGCCTGAGAAAAAGTGAAGCTTAC